CGGACACGGAAAAAAGACAAAAAAAAAAAAAAAAAAAAACCCACAAAGAAATTTTAAACTGCATTCAATAGTGTTATTGTTAGTCATAACAATGGCATTGTTATTTTGAAACTATGAAGTACATTCTGTAGGATAAACCAAATAATAATTTTTTTTTTTTTTTTTTTTTTTTTTTTTTTGTCTTTTTTCCGTGTCCGGCAACGGATCGCAACCCTCAGTGCTGCCCCCGTTACGGACCGGGGACCGGCAACGGGATCGCAAGCCTCGGCGTTGCTCCCGCGCCTCGCTCAGCCAGTGAGCGGGAACCGGTCTGCATACGGGATCCGAACCCTCGGACGGGAGCGCCGCCGCGCCTCCCAAGCGGCACACTATCCAGTGCGCCACCGGGCCGGCCCCCAAATAATAATTTTAATGTCACTAGGAAGCAAAGTTTCAGCACAAAAAAGATGCAAATATAAAATCAAAAGTTAAGTAAAAACATTGTACCCTCTTTATTTAAACTGGAAATATCAGTACAAATATCAAATATTTTTCTTTTCCTTAAAAAATGCTTATTACTAGTTAAAAGACTGTTGTAACATCAAGGTCAAGGGTTTGTATCCCCTTACCGGCCAGTGCCAAAAAAACACAAAAATAAAAACCAAACATACAAAAATGCTTATTTCCTAGTTTTTTCCACTAAAAGGACCTAGAAGCAATGACGACATGGTAGCAATAAGCACTCCAAAATTCAATTTCCCACTAAAGAAATCAGGGCTTCTTGGAGAAACAACTGATTCCAGGTTTTAAGCAGGAAAATTACAAGTCAGGTGGGACATCTTGTGCCTGGAAGCAAAAGTGGTCAAAAGCCTAGGATTCTTGTCAAAGAGACACAGGAGCCAATTTGAAGAGATTCCTATTAATCTAAAGATGGGACCATTTGTGCATCAAAAAGCATGACTGTAATGGAATGAAATACAGACATATACTTAAAAAAACTAACCCTGAATTCAAAATGATACTAAAAACAAACAAACTTTACTAGTCACTTTTAGAGATTGCTGGAGCATCAGTTCATTGCTCTGGAAAAACGGGTAGGGGGAGAATCATAAACTTATTCTACCTTTTGGGCTGGCCCGTGGCTCACTCGGGAGAGTGCGGTGCTGATAACACCAAGGCCATGGGTTCGGATCCCATATAGGGATGGCCAGTTGCTCACTGGGTGAGCGTGGTGCTGACAACACCAAGTCAAGGGTTAAGATCCCCTTACCGTCATCTTTAAAAACAAACAAACAAACAAAAAAAACTTATCCTACCTTTTTTTGTATGATCTTTATTTCAAAGTTACTAACTAATTGATGACACAGAAAATTCTTATAGAAAAGTCACAGCTAATGTAAAGGAATGACAAAATTAGGGTATCTCCATTTTGCAACTCCTAATGACATGACAGATCTAGGCAACCGTAATCACTGTTGCTAAAACCATTAATCTTCACATCACTTAACATTAAATGGCTGCTAAAATCATTCATTTTAACACCCAGTTTATAGGAAATATGGGAGACAGAGGAAAATTTTAAACAATACCATCACGATAAATCAGCCAAATCTGAGAATGGGGAAAATTCTATAGAACAAAATGACAGTTTCTTCAATGAATAAATGGTACAGGGAAAGGGGGGGTAGATGGCAGAAATGTTATAGATTAAGAGATTTAAGTATCTGTGAAACACTAAAATCACTGAATTGTATACTTTAAATGGGGGAACTACACGGTAGGTGAATCGAATCTTAATAAAGCTATTTAAGGGAAAAAAAAAAAGGATTTAAGATACCAAAATATCAACTAAAAGCAATACGTAGACCTTGCTTAGATCCTAATTTGAACAAAATCATTGTAAAAAGACATTTTTAAGGGAATCTGGGAAAAGTGAATTCAGACTGCACACCAAATGATAAGAAATACTCATATCTGCTAATTTTGGGATTTGAGGTAATGGTGCTGGGGTTAAGTTTCTTAAAAATTTAATTTTCTGTCAGACATAGATGATGACGTACATAATAAAACGTTTATGGGTGAAAGGATGTGATTTGCCTTAAAATGCTACAGGAAACGGAAGTAAAAATGAGGGGGAGATGAATGAAGCAAGAATGATGGGATGCTGATGACTCGCTGAGGCTCAGTGATGGCACATGTGGGTTCGCAGGATTCTCTCTGCTTTTAGGAATGTCTGAAGATTTCTTTAACAAAAAGTAACAAACGAAAGTGATAAGGCCCCTAATCAGAGAGGTACATATGGATCACTGTGGAGGGTCAGGAGGGAGTGTTTGAAATTTCTGTAAGAAAACATTTTAAAAAAAGACCAAAGACAATTCAGAGAAAATATTTACGATACACATATCAAATAAGAAGTTGTATTGATAAAAAAACACCTGTCAGTGTTACTGATGGTGGGGAGGAGGAAGAGACTTTATTTTTTATTTTAAGCACTTTTTTTCTTTTTTCTTTTACCAAAGATCATGTATGACACTCTTGTAACAGAAATAAATATTAAAAAAAAATAGTTAGGTAATGAATTTTGCCTCCATAATACAGAATCTTTCCAAGTTTCACATAAAAATTTTTAAAAATCTTACCTGAGATTAGCTCTGTCAAGGTCACAGGTTCGGGTCCCCTAACTGGCCACTTAAAAAAAATAAAAACAAACAAACAAACAAAAAAATCTTACCTGAGAAATGTTCTTGGAGGCCATTGTTTGCAAAAGGGCCCTCAAGGCACTACTTATGGCTTCTAGAAAGTCTGCATGTTTAGCAAAATCTAAAACACAAAAAATTACAACAAAACAGAAAAATGAAATAGAAGATTTGTCTAAGACAAGCTATTTTGTAGAAAAAGAAATCGAATCAAAGCAATACATGTTAAATGTTAATATATGCTATTGTAATAAAAACACTTCTGGTATTTAAGCCAAAACGTTTTGTTAGATCCCAGTACACAACATACATAAGTCTGAAAGATGACCACAGTTGGAAGTGTTCTATAGACAGTCCCTGACTTCCCCACTGGGTTTTCACTTGACTCACACTTTAGCACATGATAAACCTGAGCTCGCTTTTGTAGACTGCATCCAGCCTTTCATGGTGCTGGGCAGACCCATGGTGAGGTCCTCTCCCAAACCAGAGTGCTTCCTGGCCAACCTAAGCCCACCGCCTTGCCAAGAACTGTTCCTCATACAGGAAAACCCCTGTGCTCAGTCAGTGAAAACCACCATGCCTCCGTGGTTTTCACTGACCAACTCCCCCTTTCCACTCCTGCTCTTCATCTTTATCCTTACTGTCCCTTCCTCCCACACAGGACAAACAGAACAGCAGCAATAAACAATTACATTAGCACAGTCATACACAGGGGTGAGTGAGGGCCACCTAGGTGAGCTGGCTCCCTAACCCCTTTCAAGGGAAGAGAAAATAATTGCCTTTGGTGTGGTAAATCGTATTTCCCAAAAATGCCCACAGCAATGTTTCCAGTCCTGCATGATCTTCCAGACCTTGCCACTTCCCATAAAGATGTGGAGTCTGTTTCTCCACTCCCTGAGTCTGGGTGGGACTTCATAACTTCTTCAACCAAAGGAACACACAAAGTGACAGGCTAGGTCATAAAAGGCAATATGGTATCCACTTGATTCACGTGTGCATGCTCTCTTTTTTCTCTCTCAACTCTTGCCCTTGGAACCCAGTCATCACAGTATGAGGAAGCCTGGGTCACATGAAGAAGTCACTTGTGGTTGTTCTAACTGACAACACCAGCACCACTGTCAGACATGTGAGTGCACAAGACTTCAGATGATTATGGCTCACAACCTTGAGTTCTACAGGAGAGGCCCTGGACTAGTGTTTCTCAACCTCAGCACAACTGACATTTTGGATAGGATAATTCTTTGTAGTGTGCATACAGGTGTCTTTTGTACACTGCAAGATGTTTAGCAGCATCCCTGGCCTCTACTCTCTAGATATCAGCAGCAACCTCCAAGTTGTAACAACCAAAAACACCTCCAGACATTGCCAAATGTTTCTTGGGGCGGGGTGGGCGGATTGCCCCTAATTGAGAACCATTGCCCCAAACATTGTGAGTTACAGACAAACCATCTCCCCTGTGACCTGTTTAAATTTCTGACCTAGAGTGATTGTGAGAAATAATGATTATTGGTGTTTTAAGCCACAAAGTTTTGGGGGTAATTTGTTCTGTAACAATAGATACCTTAGCTTCCTGCTTTGTGGTGCCTGGGACCTATAACTGTTCTAGGTCCCAGGTTTTTATGGTGTCTGGGTGACAGTGAGGCAGCACCTGCACAAATTTTAACCAAGGCTTACTATACTTCTTGGCCTTCTCATTTTCAGAAATATATACCAAAATAGGGGATTTCCCATAATTATCACAAAATAAAGATAACAGGATATCTTAAATACGTCCTTAGATTACAGGATCTCTTTAAGATTAGACAGACTTGGGATGGAATCCTGCCTTTGATTTTGTGACCCCTCTCACTTAATTTTAGTCTTGGCTCAAATGTCACCTCCACAGAGAGGCCTTTCCAAACTAACTTGCACATTAACTCATACCATTCTGCCTTTATTTTTTTCTTCATAGCTGAATTACGTTAAAGATTTATTTATATCAGAATGCAGGCCCCAGGAACATAGTGACCTTGCCTATCTTGTTCATGCCTGTATCCCTAGACCTAGAACCTAGCGCTAAAAGAATGAATGATCTTGAAGAGGTTCCTTAAACTCTAAATCTCAGCTACCTCATCAGGAAGATGGGGTAATAATGCCTATCTCATAAAACCCAGCACTTAATGGGCACTCAAAAATTGGTGTGAATTGTTACTATTAAAGTTCAAAAAGTTACCATAACATACTGAAATGTATGTTATATTTGATTAATGCTGTAAGTGTAGCCTTAGAAATTCATGAACTGCATATAAAACAATTCAGCTATGTTATGTTATGTTACAAAAAACTAACTCAATATAAACAAAATACATCTCAAAATCGACTTTTTTCTGTCCTCTATTCTCAGGAAAATAACCATTACCTTAGATTCAAAACACTAATCTAAACTACACTGCCATTTTACATTATGTGTAATGCATACTTTCCCTACACTAAGGAAAATATTTGGGTGATTTTTATTTAACTCACATTTCTGATCGTTTATCCAAATTTGGGAAAAGATTCAAACCACCCTGCCTTTCTGATAAATTCTCAGTAAAAGGTTGACAGATGTGTCTAAGAAATTAAGTAAATGTCAAAAGAAGTTAAACAAAAGACATAATTCAAAATGTTTTCCCGCTTGACAAGTTGTATCTAAGAATCCATAGCATGCCGGGCCAGCCCGTGGCTCACTCGGGAGAGTGCAGTGCTGATAACACCAAGGCCACGGGTTTGGATCCTATATAGGGATGGCTGGTTGGCTCACTAGCTGAGCATGGTGTTGACAACACCAAGCCAAGGGTTGAGATCCCCTTACTGGTCATCTTTAAAAAAAAAAAAAAGAATCCATAGCATGCCTAAATGTAGGTAAATAACCCACAAGTAATCAAGCAGCAAATTACATCTAGGTAAATTTTTCAGATTGATTTTCAATATTCTGATATGGAACAGAAAATATAACCCAGAATGGGATACTATCATTCTAACTATAACAAAAAAAGGACTTTCCAATTTCTAAAATGTGGGAAAATAGGGAATCCTAAATGATTTCAGAACTCATGCAATGGAGCAAAATGACAGACTGACCAAATATGAAAATACAACATTGCTAAAAATCTCTTTTTTTTTTTTTGGTGGCTGGACAATATAGGGATCTGAACCCTTGACCTTGGTGTTACAAGGCGAAAAATTTCATATGTCTTGAAAATCAATAGCTTTTAATGAAGGGGACAAAGACTTTAGTGTTTGAATACAAGGATCAGATTCTACTAAAAACTTTCTCCTTTTCTTTCTGATGTCAGCCACAAACATAATGTAGGTATGTATAAAGTGTCACAAATAGTATAACTAATGAGAACTGTATTTTAGCATTAAAATTAAAACAAGTTAGGTAGAGCTGTATGATCCTCATTCATTTAACTCTCAAACATAAAGGAGTAGAGAAATTTAGTCCCATTCTCCCTACCAAATTCTCCAAAAACAGTTCACACTATCCATATAGAACCCATAGGGTTACATTATTTAATTGATCTCAAATGTTTAGAAGGACTATATTAGAATAGCACCTCCAAATGTAAACAATTATCCTTTATCAAATTTCTAATAAAACTTACTGTTATTCCAAAGTAAATAATAACTATACTATGCTAAGGAGGCCATTGACAGGACACAATGGACCCTGAGCAACCTGGACAGCCCAGAGGCATTTTAATGGCAATCTTCTCCCAGCAACAACTTTTCCCCTATTGTTTACAATCCAAATCCATCACATGTGGAAGGTCAATTCAGATTACAAATTCCTGGAAATAATAGCCCATATCATTAAATGGATAAATTTTCAAAAATACTGTTGTGACAGTGACCTGTGATAGGTGATTTCTATAAAAATAACATCATGGCCCTCAGGATATATCAAAGTGTTCTTAACCTAACAAAATGTCACAATTCTGAAACTTAAAAAAAGGAAAAGCCAAGACTTTCCATTATTTCTCCATGGCTCAGTCTGGTATGGTTTTCCTGTGATATATGCAGGTAATAAATGTACAAGAATCAGTGACCACAAATAGCCAGCTGAACTGGGAGAAACATACCTGAGTATTTTCTGTATAGCAAAGACACAGAATACGTACATTTATTTCAAATGAAATAAACTCTTCATGCTGGCTGGGGATGGGGCTTGTGGTACCATGATCAGACTCTTATTGACAAATGGCCCAGAGGCAAGGGATGCTGACAGCATTACCTCAAGGTTAGGCAGGGCTTAGAAGCAGTAAGAGACTCTGGTACGTCCTGCCCACTTGAGGCCCTGGCTGTGGACTTCCCCACTTGGCTCTACTCTGTATCTCAGCCCATGGGAATGGATGGATGGGATGCAGGAGCAATAGCTGCCCTTCCTGTCCCCGCCCCATAGGACACCTTGGTGGGCTGATGGGAGCCAGAAAGCCAGTAAAAGTCAAGGAAAGCTCCCTGCGTCCCATACCATCCAGGTCTCTTCCAGGTTTTAAGAAGGCTGGGAGAGAAACACAAAGCTACAGTTGTCATCTGGCCTGCTCACATCAACAAATCACTTCTGTGCTCCAGTGCTTGCCCAGTCCTGGCTTGGAATGGGTACAGGGCTGGCACTCCTCATATCCTGTTTGTATCCTGTCTTGAGGATGGCTAGGTATGGCTTTCCTGTGTTCACTGTGGCCAACAAGTGCACAAACAGCCTGAGATCTCTTGAAAACTACATCTGTTGACTTTACCAATGTCAAAAGGGTGGTAGAGACAGACTAATAACTATATATGGGTTTCTAAACATTTATTTACTTAGTTTCTTTTGTTTGGTGGCTGGCTGGTAGAGGGATCAAATCCTGGACCTTGGTGTTATCAGCACCACACTCCAAACCAACTGAGCTAACCCGCCAGCCCTATTTACTTAATTTTTAAAAATTAATCTAGAACTTCTAGCACTTCTTAGGAACTTGATAGAATGCAAGATTGATGTCTAAAGAATTGGGGACCAACTCGTGAATGAATGTTTATATAGAAAATTGTATTTAGACAAAACCGATCATATTTTGATCTTTTAAGAGTTCAGTTACTGGGGCTGGCCCGGTGGCGCACTGGAGAGTGCGCTGCTTGGGAGTGTGGCGGCGCTCCCGCCGAGGGTTTGGATCCCATGTGGAGACCGGTTCCCGCTCACTGGCTGAGCGCGGTGCGGACACAACACCTAGGGTTGCGATTCCGTTGCCGGTCAGTAAAAAAGACAAAAAGGAAAAAAAAAAAGAGTTCTGTTATTGGATTTAATGTTGTGTCTGGGAAGGAGAAATGTTAAACAGTATACAATAAAATATATGAACAATATGTTGAATACAACACAACAGAGTTATCTTATTGGTGGTCAGATGTTAAAGTCAATGCAGAAAGCAAATATCTTCAAGTTTACCCTAAAAAAATCCCTAAAGAT